GCATCTCGGTCTTGCGTGCCTGCTTTCCAGCATGCCTGCTAGCATGCCACTGCCTGCAGTGCTGCTGCCCCCTGTACTGCGCCAGACTGAGCCACGGTGTTTGCCCTGCCCCTCGTGTGCAGATCGGCGTGGAAACACCTGCCAATGGCTGTTCTTTGCTGACCACACAGTGGCCCAGGAGCAGCAGCAGCAGCAGGAGCAGCAGCAACAGCGGTACCCAGCGCTGCCATTAGTGCCGGTTGCAGGCCACGCAGGCTGCATGCAGCCTCCACACTCCGCCCCACCAGCCCCGGCACCAGCCCCAGCAAGTCCAGCCACATCTGCTGTGGCCGAGGATACAGATGAGGAGGCGACGACGGCGGCGGCAGCGCTGGTGCGCGCAGCCTTTGCTGCTGTCCTGGCCGGCGAGGCTGGCCCGCTGCAAGCAGGGCCAACGGAGGCGGCTGGTGGTCCTCAGCAGGCACCGCAGCAACAGCAGTGGCAGCAGCAGCAGCAGCAGCAGCAGCAGCAGCAGGAGGCGACGAGCCTGCCAGGCTTGCCGCAGCACCCTCCCTGGCTGCTGGCGGTGCAGCTGGTGGCGCGGCCTGCTGAGGTGGACTGGCTGGACCCTGCGAGCGATCCAGGCAGCATCTTCACGCTCAGGTGAGCGGATGGGATGGCATGGCGTACCTGCAATCCACGCTGTCAGTGCCATGTGCTGTGCAGCGACCCTGCATCGCCGCTCACCCTCATGAATTTGCTTCCGGACCTGCAGCAATGTGTGGCTGGACAGGGCAAATGCCGAAGTGCGGTTGTGGAACGCTGGCGGCGACGAGTGCTGCGCCATTCAGCGCCACAAGCCCGGCGCGACGCTGGCGGCCAGCCGCGGCAGGGCACGCGGCGGCGGCGGCGGCAGCGGCAGCTGCGCTGCGACAGAGGCTGCGACGGCGGGTGTGGCGGCGTGGGCGGCAGCCAATCCGCAGGTGGTAGCACAGCTGCGCCAGCGAATTGCAGCGGTGATTAGGGACAACTAGGTGCGGCTCGTGAACCATGTGCAACACAGGCATACCTGTTTGTAACCGAGGTGAGACGTAGGTGAGAGCAGAAAAACGGCGGTGGCGCCTCGGTGCCATTCAAGGCCGCCGTGG